AAATTCCATCTCACTTAATTTCAAATAAATGCTCAGGCATCTGCATTTCTCAACACTGTACCCTAGAGTATTGCTACCAATTCCTTTCACTCACAATCTTGTTCAAATAGTTATTTTGAAACACTTCCTTCTCCAATACAAATGGGTCAACTAGATCCAAATCTAAATGAAGGACAAAACTCTATTCTCTAAATTTTTTTCCCCCAGCAAAACCTGGGTCTTACTTGATTCCCTATACTTTTTCTTTCCCAGCTTGAATATAAACTGAAAAGTTGTTACACAGTAAAGTATCATTTTCAGCCTGAATTCTGAAAAGTTATTAATAAACTCACTCCCGCACTGGGCATGCCCAGAATTCGAGGGGAAGTCTGCTTTCAAGTTGTTCATATGGCCCTGGACCAGATGCTCTAAGGTGGCCGGGAACTGCAGTCTTCACGCACTTAGCAGATTTCTGGCTCTTTATCAGGGACTAAGAGGTTTATTTGAAGAAATGAATCATTTCCTTCAAAATATCCTTTACCCTATTTACATGCTTGCATATTGCTTCCACTTTGTTTCCCCCCTACAGCTTTACTAAGAGAATTAATTATCTAGAAGAACAGGAACATACAGTAAGTACATCTGAGATTCGGGATGAGAAACAGTATGTCATCTATTAGGCCTGGCTAAGACCAGCAGCTGATGCTAAATGGGAAGGAACATGCACCAAATGTTTTTTAATCACAAAGTTAGTAATTAATTGCTCTTTAAAATACATTTTATGCTTTTTTCTGTCTGTGTACATGAAATGCACATTTATTACATGCCAAAAATTACAACATTATGGTTTAAATGTGACTGGCACGGAAGTCCGGAAATCAGAGTTAATGTTCCCACGGCGACTTTAATTCTGTCCGTGTGCACACACAGAGCCGCAATCGCCTTCCGCTCCCGGATCATACATATAGATGGAGTGGGGAGGGAGGCTAACGACCCATATCCTCAACTGTAGTTACAGGAAAAAACAAAGGACAGAAGCGGTGCCCCTTTCCACCATGTGGGTGAGAACAATGTCCCTGCGCCCAGCGTTGTGTAATCGGGATGAAAGAATCTGCTGTGATGCCCCCACTTAAGGGACAGTTTCTGTTGCTGTGGGAACCTCAACTTTGCATTTCCTGACTTTGGGGTAATTAAAATGTCAGCCTTAATGTGGCATTAATGGAGTTTGCCATAAAAAATCCTCTTTGCTTTGTTCTCTAAAAAATTGCTTGAAAGTTCAAACTGAACGGAGTGTACTAAAATTTTTAATCTCAGGGACTTGGACGGGTGAAGCAAAGGGCTGGGGGCGGGGGAAGGCCCGTGAAGGTGGACGGCAGGGCGGGCGGAGGGGTGAGCCCACCGCTCTCCCCACCAGGGCTCATCCCCAGCAGAGTCGTGCTACCTCCAGAGCTAAAGTTAAAGCCACCCACACAGCATTTTGGTAATGTGTAAAGGTTAAATTAAAAATAAATAAAAACTGCTAATGCGTAAGTGCATCTTGGCAAGGACACACAAAAATAAGACAGTCTGATGAGACCAGTGTAAAACGTGGGAAGGTAAGTAACCACGGGTGGCAGCTTCAAACAAAAGCGAGACGAGGGAGTCAGCGAGTCCACAGTCAAAAGTGGGGAGGATTGCCCGAGGGGGAAGGGTCACTTCTCCACTCCCTTCAGGGGGAGACTTATTTTGGGAAAACTGATGTGGAAGAAATACGCAAGTGCAAGTTGCCTCTCAGGTACATGTGACTGTGATGCTCCTCTGGATACGTGTCAGGGAAGGCTTCTCCTGGAGAGCCTCGCCTGCTTTCCTGGTTTAGTCCTGCTTCGGCACTTGAAGGGAGAACTTGGCTCCTCAGCCTTTTCAATGGGTAACTGTCCTGTCAAATACCTTGGGGTTTTGTACCCGTTTCAGAACTCATCTTAACTCCTTCCATTATCCTTGTCTGAGTTTGTCTGCATCGGACTCTTAGAAATGGTGCAGAGGTGAAAACCTGTGAGGTCATGGGGGAATGGTACTAAAAGGAAATTGTTAGTGCGTGTGCTGCAAAGCGCAACACATCTCAGATGCAACACCAACCTCATCGTCTCACAATAGACAGCACTTCTCAACCATATTCCTTCTTGTTTTGAATATTGCTGAGATCTCTGGCCAAATTTGAAGTGGCTCAGCCGGTTAAATAGTCCACTAAGAATTTCAGGGGGTCAGACTCATCCTCTCTGCTCTCCGATTCGGCCTGTGCCCTTCAGATGCAACAGCACTGTGGCTTACCCACCCTTACCAGTTCATACTCAGAGCTGACTTTTCTTTGGTGGGGATGTTTACACATCGTCTTTTACAACCCCATCACTGATGTGAATAGTTGCATGTTTTCAAGATGCCTGGTTAGAGCCAGGAATGCCGTCTCTGGGCTTGGAACAGAGAATTCAGGCTGTTCACAGCAACAGCAAAGCCACAGACATCCTCAGTATCTGAAAGAGTTAATTACTGAGCAAGTCATTCATCTATCTGGCTGTCAGTTTTCTCATCTGTAAGCTGGGAAGAGTTATAATGACTGACAGGAAACGGGCGTTAAAGTGTGACTAAGAATAATTTTGCTAAACACATGACAAATGAAAAGGTGCCGTGAAAATGCAGGCACTTGTGAAAGCTGGGAACCCTGTGCACTGGTGGAATGTTTCTGAAGCTAAAGAGACTCACAAGTCAAGGACATTATTTTTAAATGTCCCAAATCTGTTCGTTGTAAACAGAACTGAATAATTTACCTTAAAGAAATTAAGCTTTCAAATTAATTTATGGTAACAGTGACATTTGAAAGTAAAAACAAAATAAATAAAACAAGGAAAGTAAAGGAAAAATCCTCTTGAATGCAAGAAGAGCATCCAGAAATTTTAACAGCTTAAAATAAATCTCTTTCCTGTCTTCTCTTAAGCAATCTCCAAATGGCCAGATTTCTGTGAATCTTTCCTAAAAACAATTTTCTTCTAACTGTAAGCTCAAATCAGGACAAACTACAATTTGAATATATCTGGAGGAAAGTATAATCAATTTAAACAACAGGTTGGAGCACAGAGGACTTTCACATCTTAATGGGAAAATGAAAATGACTTTTGAAACAGCTGGAGACTGGGCTTCTCCCCCCTCTCGGACACCCTGCCGACGGGCCCCCTCAGCGTGAGGCGCAGCCGTGGCTCCGCACTCGTCTGGTTCCTCGTGCACGTTCTGTGCCAAGGCCTGGTGGGAGGACGCTCACAGTGAAGCACCGTAAGTGAAGCCCGGCGCTGCTCCTCCTAGTCAGAAACACATTCATTTTGCTGCGACAGGGGACTTCTGGGCTAAGGCCATTCTATGTAATCTTCCCCATAAGGTGTGGCACAAAGCCAGGCGACCGAGGTCTGCGTGCAGGAGCTCCAGGCCCTTCTCCACAGGAACAGGCTACCTTCCCGGTAGGCAGGGGCACCGTGCGCATGTCCGCGGGCTCGGTGCCACGCTGTTGTCCAATTCTTCCTGTAATTACTATCAGGCCGGAGACTGCCAGGCAAGAAGGGCCGAGGATGTTACTATTACAATGGCCCACAGAATGCAGTTGCCCCTCTGACCCCAGATTTCTCTAGAGAAGCAGCCACTGTGTACAAATTACACAGGCTGTAGAGACTTGGATGTTCTTACTTCTTGTTTCATTTTCTAGTGACATCTGGAGTGTGGTCTCGGCCCAGCCAGGAAGAGAACAATCTTCCTTCACCCCAACCTCAGCCCGAGGTCTTGTCCCCTTGTGTACAGACTGTTACGAAGAAAGCAAGTAGGGAATGGACTCTCCTAGACTCATCCGCCTCTTGCCCTCTTTGCAGAGTTTACATTTGTTTTGCCAGAATAATAATAATAATACTAGAAAATTAAGAATCTCCTTTCCTAATTCATAAGCTATGCCTTTGTGGACAGAATAAATAGAGTCTTTTTTATTTGGGAAAATAAAAATTTCTTGGTCATTCTAAAGAAGAATACACCAGCTCCTTGCCTGTTACCATGTTTCCTTCATGGAGATGAGTTCAGAAGAGTTGTTGGATATCTCAGTTAGATATCTCAGACTAAAAGGAATATTCTTTCAGATTGGACCCCAAAGTTTTCCCATTCCTTTTGTCAACACACGTGTTTCTTTTCTCTCTGGAGTATTGGGTTATGTTGCAGAGAGAGAATGAAGTCTCTTAAATGTGATATCAACTTTCTTAAAAAAGAAATTTAAAGAAGTGACTCCCAGATTAGTGAGAAGACAGCAAAACCAAATGGCAATGGAGTGATTTCAATACCAACGATCTCATTAAGCTGCCCATTTCCAAATTTAGCCTGTAGGCAGTTTTTTTTTTAATTAAAAAGTATTTTTAACCTGAATTCTTATTGGCCATGTGAAGTCTGGGTGGCTTCTGAATTCTTGGAAGCCATTCTCTTTTCTTCTGTAAATTTATGCTATCCTTTAACCACTTCAAAATAAATTAAAAACTGGAAAGACAGAAATGCAGCCAAGCTGCATGAGTCTCCAATAACTAATGCAAAGCTGACTTGTGTTATGTAATTTCATAATGGGCGTTTCCTCGCATCTACCCTGCCTTCAGAGGTCCATGTTCGGCTGCTCGGTTAAGCTGTGGTGGAAGTGCTGTTATTCGGATCATGGGGACAAAGGAATAATCAGAAAGCAGCAACGCAACGTCACCCCTTCTTTTTCTGAGTTACTGTTATGAAAGAGAATGTGGTTTGTGTAATCATTTGGCCTTCTGGGGACAAATGGCTGGTCACCGGGTTTCAACGCTCCAGCTTTGAAAATATAGATAGATGTTGGCTGAATCAAAATGGTGGCAAGTCACTACTTTGCCATTGGCTACTTTAGAAGAACAAATGGAAACAGCTTGCTCTGAATGCAAAAAAGCCAGAACCCAGGGGAGAAGCATGCTCCAAGCACCGCGAAGACACTATCACCTTCCTGGTGTACTCACAATCAGATGACCCGGTGTGAGCGTGAGAGTTTGTCAGTGAATGTGTTGAGTGGATGAGGGCCGGGTCTGGAGACAAAACAGCTTCAAAGTTCAGGCAGGGAAGGCCCGGCTTGGCGCTGGATCCACCCGGCTGAGTAATCTCATTCTCCTCAGATGCCTTCTGGTTTTCAGCTGTCTTGGGTTTCTTCCTGAAAATAAACAAAGGGCCCTTTGAAGGAACTGACTGCATATTTGGGAAAAGGCATTTTTAGAATCTGTTAAAGATAACTTGATTTTTTTTCTGAGGGGGGATGGGAGGGAGTCCAGTATGTCCCTTGTTTTAAAACAAGCTGATTCTTGTTTTTTTTTCCCCTCCAGTAATGGCCTAACTGGGAACACATGAAAGCATATGGGCCGAGCAAACAGCACCACATTTGGACTCTGTTGACTGCATAAAAAGACCCTGTCCCAGAACTTTAGACAGCTTGAGCTACGTATGGCTGACATTATCCAAGAAAGCATCCTCTTTCCCCCCTTAAGAGTTTTAACATGGTCTGGAAAAATACTAGTGGGTGTTTACCGTTCTAGCATTTGTCAGGAAGCTTAGAGACAGGACCCGTGGAGTAATGGGAGGAGCACTGGACTGGGAGTCAGGAGACTTGAGCTACGGTACTAGCTGTGCCTCTAACTTGCTGTGTGGCCTTGGGCACCTCACTTCACCTCTCTGGGCTTCAGTTTCCTCATCTGTAAAATAAAGGGCTTGGATTAGAAGGCCTTAGATGTTCCTTCCAGCTTTCATTCCTATGCATGGAACACATTATAAACATTCAACTTTCTTGCAGTTTCATTAGATTTTATTTTAGATCTACACATAATCTCAAATCACAAACTAAATCTGCAGGCTGCAAAGATGACAAGGGGTAGTGATGGAGGTTTTTATCGAAGTGGCAAAAGAAAAGTGAAAAGAAGAGCTTAGATTTCAATAGGCAGAGGGAAGGTGTCACCTGGGTGACCATTCCAAACTCATTACTCATCCAAAGCTTAAGATTTCCTTTGTGCTTTAACTTAGTGCACAACTCTTGGGTACAGGAGTGTGACTGTGTGTTTGGGGTGTGACAAAGAGATACGTAAAGGGAATTAGAGAGTAATTACTGCTAAATGTTATTTGGGGCAAGGAATAGGAAGTGAAAGATCTTAGCTATTGGTCAGGTTCACTGTTCTCGCCCCGGGACAATGCAACTGATACATAAATGAATAAACACTTAGCTTAGACTGAATGTACCCTGGGTCTCAGCCACACTTGATTATTAATCACACCCTAAAAATTCTCCCCAGTTTCCTTGGCTTTCTGCCCTTTTCTATCATTATATGCATGGTGACCAGAGAAAGGGCTTTGTTTCATATTTTGGTAAAAGATTACATGTGGTACAAAAGTTGTCGTAAATAGAATTGTTTCCCTGTTCTCCTCGTTTCTATAAGCATGGCAACGGACTTGTTACACAGAACATTTTCTATTAGAATTTGTTGTATTGGGTAGTTAAATATGCCCTCACGGAATATGGTGTTATGATTACCACGCTGCGTTTCTGGTCAGTAGGTTGTGAAATACAGTATGCTTTTTCAGAGGGTGTGTGGCAGAGATAGCAAGGTAAAGATGAAAACAGAGGAAAAGCTTTTAGGCGTATTTTTCAGTTGGGAGGAAGCCGATAGGAGAGAAAGAACAAACTGGAATGCTTTGCCAACTGTCTGTTGAGTGGGTGGCAGGGAACTAACCTCAAATTCTGAGTGTCTCCACAGACCCCCAAAGACCTGGCTCTGGTTTTCACTTTAATGAGGTTCCCCAAGATAGAGTCTGCAGCGCCCAACTCCTTCTTTTTCTAGGAAAGCCAACGCCTCCTCTGAGGTCCTTATTTCTATCGCCACAGTCTGTCGCAGGCTGGAGACCACGGGGTCACACACCTTCCTCTGCCTTGCAGTCAGTTCGGCAAGTCCTGGAAACTCCGCTTCCTCTGTTTTCCACACCCGTTTTCCCTTTCCATTTCCACTGCAATAACCTGGACACTTTTTATTTAGGCTGCTGCCTACTTTCCGGCCCTCCGCCTCCTTGCCTCCCGCAGCCCTCCTCTGCATCCCCTTCTCCGGTGGCCACATTAGACTGACCCTCCAGGTGAGTCCCACACCTGCTTCTAGCTTGGCTCACACAGGCCCTACATGCTGGCCATACTGAACCCTCGAATTCCTTGAATGTTTCCAGATCATCCTGGGGAATCTTCATCCTGTTCAAATTATTTCTCTTGCTTTAAATGCCTCTGTTTTTCAACTGTTGAAGTCCTATTTATTCTTTATATTTATTAAATGTTGTCTCCATCTTATAACTGTTGATTTCTCTCCACCAGATAGGACTTCTTTCTCTCAAATGCTCCTCCCTCCCATCTTTCTCTGCTATCCCCAAACACTTCTTACTTCTTTTATTTTACTCACGACACTTCGTCTCAGGAATGGTTATTTACATGCTTCTCCCTCCTCCATGACGCTGTGAACTCTCTGAGGGCGAGGCAAGGCCCCCCGGGCTCTGAGTTCCCTGTGTCTGTGCACTGTTCCCGTCTTCCTGCCCTCCCACCACCCATTCGGTCACGTAGTCATTCCAAACACTGTGTGACTAGGACATGCCAGCGTGGGTTAGGGAATTAAAACAAGGCTGGTTTTTGCCTTTCCAGAATTTGCTCTCTAGTGTATACTGTTAAGCCAAAGAGCGTAGACATAGCCATCATCCAATATATGCTTGTTGATAAAATGAAATGGGGCAGAAATTAAAGTATATTCTGAGGATAGTCATAGTCTGAGTCCCAGTTAAGTTGCCTACTCTTTATACAGCAGTGAAATCTACCCTGAGTGGCTGCTTTTACTCTGAATCCATGAAGGGCACTTGGTAAAAGTAGGGCCATGTTGCTCACAAAGTTATTAGGCTGATCCTCAGGATTCATTTATATCATTATTTTTTAAAGATTTCATTTATTTATCTTTAGAGGGGAAGGGAAGGAGAGAGGGAGGGAAACATCAATGTATGGTTGTCTTTCGTGCGTCCCCTGCTGGGAACTGGCCTGCAGGGAACCAGCCTGCAACCCAGGCATGTGCCCTGACTGGGAATTGAACTGCGATTGTCTGGTTCACAGGCCGGTGCTCAATCCACTGAGCTACACCAGCCAGGGCAGGATTCATTTAAATACAGGAATGAAACACTAATGACATATCACTTAACAGAAAAAAATGTTTATCTCTGCTGCTCTCAGACAAGGCCCAGGCTAGTTTCAGATGTGTGCTTTAGGGAAGTAAAGCCCTCTTCCAAACATGAGTGCATGGCCAGCATTACTCTTTTGTTTTTACGAGTGTACAACTTGTATTATTCTTCATATAAATGCCCTTGCTTCCTTCCTTAGATTTGATCCTGCTTCCTACCTGACATCTTGCACCACACCCTCTTATTTGTTATCTCAAGGACCACCTTTGGGGAACATTCATAGCACAGAGGCATTGGAGCCACCTTCATGAGCAGAAAGTATGAAAAACTCAACCTTCACTGGTTTATACCCCCGCTTTCCTAACTTGCCTTTATGCCACTGGACTGCTTCCCAACTGCACAAATAACAGAGAGCCACTCACTGCCTTTAGAAGCAAGTCATTGTCCATCTCACCTTCTCTAATAGTCCTTTTGGACTCCTTTTTCCAGAGTTGAGAAATACTGAGATATAGCCCCAGTCTTTGCCTACGAATGCACAGGTTCTGTTATTTTGACCCCAGATTTGCAGTTCACAGTTTATTAAGGGGGAAAGAGCAATTCCTACACTAATTAATCGAGAATATCTTCTTTGGTTATGTAAAAAGAATTACACAAACATGGTATCTAAGGACCAGTCTCTCCGAGCCTCTGTGGCAGTGCATTATTCCCTGGAGCCTTTAGAGGGCAGCAGCACACCAGCTGACTCCAGACAGCGTTGCAAAGAGGCAAACTCCCTACCAGCCCAGAACCTTCCTCCTGGTCACCATGCCAAAGGTTGGTTTGCCAAGCTCTGGCCGCTCAGCCTTTCTTTCTTTTCAGTTCTCAGTGCTCGCTCTTTCTCTCTCTCTCTGTGTCTCTCTCCCCACCACCCCTCTTCCCTCCTTCCCTCCCTCAATGTTAAAATTATACACTCTGATGAAGTCGCCCCTCAACCGGAAAATGAAAGCTCCAATGAAAAAGTTATACAAGCCAACAACAACAAAGAAAGAAACTGGGAGAAAGGGGAAAGGGGGCTGGTGAGGGGGAAGGATTTAAGAACAAGAAAAGGGCAGATGTTTCGTAAATATATGCAAAGCAAAACTGGATGTACCCTGAACACTTCCATAGAGAAACAGACCAATCATTGTGCACTTCCTCCTGCCACACTGGTGGGAGCTCAGCATTCAAAAAAAAAAAAAAAGTGTGGCCGCAGGCACCTGCCTTTCAACGGTTAGTTCTGACCATTTTGACGAGTATCTCCAAATTGTCCAAAGAGAACAAAAATATTTTCAACTCCCCACTGCAAGCATTTCTGTAATGAGAAAAAGAACTGGAAAGGCATTTTAGGTGACTGGCGGCTGGGGTAGCCAGCAGGACCTTCTGGTTTTTAACTCTCATCGTGCCGGCCCCAGCAACAAGTTTTAGGCTGAAACATAGCAGTGAGAACGATGTTGGCTTTTTCCGTACTAGACCATATTGTACGTGGAAAGAAATATGCATTGAAACATATTGATGAGATGGTAGGTATCACGCATGTGAAATGCATGGAAATTAACCAGATCGGTGGCATTTGATGTATATATTTCACACTTCTTTGCACATATTGCACACACACAGTGATGGCAATGCTTTCTGCAACATATGGAAAATAAATATTTTATCTGTGTGAGCTCTTATCAGTCTCCAGGGTCTGTTGAGAGAAGAGTGCTGCCTTCTATCTCCCTCTCCTGATTTTCTCTCTTCACTGGGCCCCCCCCCCCCCCCCCCCGCTCCTACACATTAACATGCCTTTCACTCATCAGCCTGGTTGGATAGAAAAGAATTAGTAAGAACCTCCTTTTGATGAATAATTACCTAGTCATTAAATCATGATAATTTAGACCAATGATCCCCCCACCTCCTGCCAATCTTACTCTCTTTCCCAACAGTACAGTGGGAACAGCTTAGTAGAGTGTTTGGGGATGGGGGGGTACAGGTGGAGGGAAACAAACCAGCCCCCCGAGGCCTGGTGGCAGAAGTGAGTTCCACCATCTAGTAGCTGTGTGTTCTAGATGGATTACCCTGCTTCTCTGGGCCTCAGTCTCCTCATCTGTTAAGTAGAAATAATGATACCTACCTTCGAGGGCTGACATGAGAATTATGTAACATAATTCATGTCAAGTGACTGGCACAGTCCCGGCACATAGTTGGTGCCTAAGGGCGGTAGCTCTTTCCACAGACGGCATCATTTCTGTGGTCTGTCACTTCAGCTAGCTGCAGCAGGGCACTTCCTCTACCTTAGTAATCTTTCTTAACACTCAGATTTGGGCAGAGGCGAGCGCACAGTGATTGTAGCCCGGGTGGAAAGAATGCTACGGTAAGCAGTCTCCTCTGGAGCACTTCCATCTTACTGCACTGCCCTCCTGACACCTTCCGTCCGTCCACGGGTTTGTCACTGCTGCTGCTACACCAAGGGCTGCTCTCGATGCTGGGGGTCAAAGAAGCCACACTGGGCCCGCAGAAGCCCACTGCACATGAGCACGACGGTCTATTCATGAAAACCAACCTCTGGCACTCTCTCTCATCACGTGTTCTTACAATTTGTTCTTTCACTACTTGGTGTAATGTTCTCAGATCAATTTAAGATGTTTTCATGTTTAAAACATTGTATTCTCTCAATTTTTTAAACCTTCTTGGCAAGGCTCATTTAGAGTGTTTCTCAGTGTCTCTCTCCCTCACTGTTATCGGTCGGGATCCTGGCAACAGACAGATGGCACACTCAGAGGTTTTAACTGAGGAGAGTTTAATGAAAGGGCTGTACACTGAGGTACAGACGAGGTTAAGGGAACCGCAGGGGAAGGTGGCGCATCAGAGAGTAGCAGTGGCGGGAAGCTGTTAAATCTCAGCTTTAAACTATTAAGCTGGCCCTGGCCTGCAGCTCAGTTGGTTGGAGCACTGCCCCACAGACCGAAAGGTTGCAGGTTCGATTCCTGGTCAGGGCACATACCCAGGTTGTGGGTTTGACCCTGCCCCCCGTTGGGATGCGTATGAGATGGCAACCGATCCATATTTTCACACTGAAGGAGCAAGGGAGGGCGTGGGGTTCTCTAAGTTGAGTCTGAACTGGAGTCGGGAAGGGGGCTGGAGTAATACATGCCATGACCTCACTTTCCTCCTCCTCTCACATCTCTCGCCGTGGTCTCCTTCAGGCCAAAGTGGAAGGGAAGCCAGAGGAGAAGACAGCTGGGCCGTGGAGCCCAGAGAAGTCGGCCTCCTGGGCCACAAATCAGGGCAGAGAATGGTTGTGTGTGTGTGTGTGTCGGGGTCGGCGGGGACTGATAGGCACGCCTGCTCTTTCCCTCTCCATTCCTTCACCCTCTTCCTCTAATTTCACTGCCTGGGATGAAAGACACAGCAAAATAAAGTGAAAGATTTCTCTTTTAGCGTCCACATACCTTTTCTGTCTGCCTGGCATTTACAGGAGAAGAAAACCGAATGTAAGAATTTTTGTTTGCTTGCCGCCATGACTCTGGTGCCTAGAAGAGGGCCCCGCACACAGTAAATGTCCAGTACGTCTCAGCCGACCGAGCAAGTACACTCGCCTCTGCTCTGCCCGGCACCACCTGTACGTTCCCTCCTCTCATTTCCACGACAGTCCAGGCCAGCAGGCAGGACCACTGGGCACGGTCGTCTGGGTGGTGTGGGAGTGGGCGGGCTTTAAAATCTAGCACTCGGCCCTTCCTACCCACCCCCAAGCCTGGAGATCTGGCCCAGGGCATTGTCAACCCACAGCAAGGGACATGTTTTTGTCATTGGTCCATGTTTTTTATACTTTAATCACCTTACTGCTTTTTGCACCTAGCAAGTCTTTAAGTTTTATTATTTTTTTCTCTTTCACATATGAAGGAGCTGAATTTCTGAAAAGTAGAGGCTACAAGGATTAGACCCAATCTGTCCATTCACTAGGACCTGTGAAATGTGGAAGCAGGCACTGGCTTTCTGCACAGGGGAAATACTTCCAATGGCAGAAGCGGACGCTCACTGGTGGGCTGCCTGGTGGTTTTCAGGAAACCTTAGGTTCTGATTTCTGGGTCCGGATCTGGGTTCTTTGCCGCACAGGAAGGTGGGAGTGCTAATGACTTTGTCCTCTCCCAAAGGGCCCAGAAACTTTGCAGCCTGTCTGCATCCTGGTACAGCTGTGCTCTAGCACAACACAGTTAGTTACTCTGTGATGAAGAAAAACTCAGAGAACTAGGCTGATGGGAGATTTTCTAAGGCACACTTTGCACTTGAACTTAAGGATAAATGAACGTGGTCACAAAAGTAAGTTCCTTCCTTGCCTAAGTGGGAAATGAAGAAACTCTTATGTCGTGTCTTCGGTCCCCCGTCACCTGAACCCACTGAGACTGCAGAGCACTCTGACCGCCCCCATGTCCATTCGGGCCAGGAGGCCTGCCTGCCCCCTACACATCCGCTACCATCCATTACAAGTCAGCTGACTTAAAACATTCAAGGAAAAAGCAACACAAAACAAAACAAAGCAAAAACTCTGGCTTTATCTCTTTGGGGTTGATTTTTGCCAGAATAGCTAAAAACACAGAAAATATAAATATGAAAAATCCTCCCTGAAGCCTAAGAGGAATGTTAGCCTCCCAAAGTTAGCGTTTCCCCATAACAGAGACTGTCAAATACTATCCCATTAGCTGCCTCATAACATAAAGGAAAACTTGTGAATACAACAAATAGAATGAGTTTTTGTTTTAAAATGTATAACTGAGTTATTTTGCATGCATAACCCTTGAATAATTTAAATCATTGGCTTTTCTAGTGAAAAATCCGTATATTTATCTGTTACTGTTAGCCGTGATTAATGAACGCTTGATGTCAATCTTTCATCGGCGTCTTCCTACAGGCGTCCCCTCTCCTAGCCCAACTTATCTCTGCACCCTGCCTGGCAAGGGCTGTATCCCTCCTGCACAAACGCCTGTTATGGAGGAAACTAAACCCAGTACACAAGAGCTACGCATTCGAGGGCAGAGCTGAGCTGGATACAATGGCTGAGAGATGTGGCCAAAGGAGCCCAGAGCCCCAGGGAGCAGGCCATGGCCCCCTAGAGTGGGAAGGAGGCAACAGGACAGGCATGAGATGTGGCTCTGGAGCAGGCAGGTAGAGATGGGTGAGGAAAGCAGGCTCCCCGATTTGACCAGGGCGGCATGAAATGACAAGCTCCAGTGACTTTCAACAGAGTAGCAGAGTGGGGTGATACGAGGCGAGTGAGCTGGCAGGAACCTCAGGCAGAGGTGCAGATGACCAAGCAGAACGGCACCAGTGCCTGCAAGGTGCTCTCAGAACCAGCCGGCACAGCCACCTGGAGAGGGGGGCGTGGCACCACACAGGTGCAACTGCAGGCTGGCGCTGAGAACTGCTGCGGGCACCTGGGGGCTCAGGCTGATGACCCTGCTGCATCCAACAGACGAAGCCACCTAAAATTTCATCTGCTTTTACAATTGTGCGTGCATGTGTTTTAATTAAACAGTGAACTAAAGAGGCCTTTTGTTGAAGGCATAACGTACTCACAGTAGTTTCCAAATAAATGGTGTCACTCTTCAGGTAAGTCACTCCAAGGCTTGGGCCTAGTGCAGATGTTCATTGGGGCAGGGGACAGAGAGTGACTGCATCTAGATCAGATGAGAAACAAACAAAAATCAGTCGGCTAAATGAATAGGTGAAGGCGATCACTTGTTTTGATGGAGACAGAACAGTGGGACATGGGTGAGAGGTGGGATGTGCCCCCTTTGCACCAGAGGATGGAGAGTCAGGGAAGGGGGACCGGCGACGATGCTGTCCAGGCTCCGTTTTCAGCATTTCTACCTGACGGCTTGCATGGCGTGACAGCCTCAACAGCACCGCCGGTGCAGGCTGAATTGATTTTGTGGTACTGAGTCGGAAGCCGAGGTGGAGGTGAGGGTGGGGGACGTGGGAGCACCGTCCTTCAGCTTTGCCACAGCCCACTCTTTTCCCAGCGGTCCTGATTGCACTGCGGTCTCTCCGTCTGCAGCGCTCAGTTCTCACCTATTCTCCAGATGCCCACCGACAGGGCCATGCTTCCGAGCTCTTACCTTTTCTCCCCCCTTCACTACAAAGTCTCCATTTCCTCCATGTCCTCCGTGGCCTCCAACCTGTGGAGTGCAGCCGTAGGGGCTATAGAACTGACCGCCATCTGTCTCGGAGCCTCACACCCAGAGGCCTTGTCCCAGGCCTCGCCCCTTTGGCCATCCTTTCTTAAATGACCACTTGATTCCTGAAACTCTCCTCCCTTCACATTGCCATCCTGCATTATGCTGACTCTCCTCCTGCCTTCGGTTCTCTCTTCTGCCTCCCTCAATGGCTGGGCTCTCCCCTGTTCCTCAGTTTAGATATTCCTCAGGATTCTCTCCCCAGGCTTTGCCTACCCGCACCCGCCATGACTGTGACAATCACTTCTGCACACAGAACCCCTACACTGCTAGCTTTAGTTTTTGCTTGTCTGCAGAGCTCCAGACCCACATTCTAAATGACTGCCAGCAATTGGCTCATTCATTCATTCACTCGCTCAGTGTTTACATAGGCACCTGGAAGACGAATAAGACGGGGCCTCTAACTTTGAGAAGCCCATGTCTCCACTCTATACCATACAGACATTTCAAATGCAGAAAGTCTAAGACAGAATGTATTGCCTTCCCTTCAAAACATGCTCCTTTTCTAGCCTTCTCATTTCTTGCCATTGGTATCATCTTCAGCCAGTAACTTGGGTCTACAATTGAGGACTCATCTTTAACACCCCCTTTTCTCTTACCCCCCAAATGTCGTTGGCTGCCAAGTTCTGTGGTTTTTCCACTCAGTCTGTGCTTCCCGAGTCAGTACTTGCGTTCCACCCCGACACTGACGGAGCCTTTCGTCACCTGTTCCCAGGGTTCTGTCAGGCCCTCCCAACTGCCTTCACTTTCTTTATATGCTCCTTATCACCAGCTCATCCTTCATAATCAATACTACACTGCCTTTTCTAAAGTACCATTCTAAACATACTACTTCTTTGCTCTTTTGCTTACCTCTCAGTTTGGCATTCAAGGCCCCGGTGACAGAGCCCCAGTCTAACTTCCCACTCTCATCTCTACAGTCCGTGCTCCACGGCTGCCAAGTGCTCCTCGTTCCCACCACATGCCTGGACCTCCCTCCCCTTCCCAATGTCTCCATCCAGCTTTTTAAAGGGCCATCCACATGCCACCTCATTTATTAAGCATTAGCCGAAGGAAGGTTCCCTTCTGGAATCATTGAGCACTTACGCACTAAGCCTTTTGCACATTCTATAGACTCTGATACTTTTTTTTGTGTAGTTTATCTCCCCCCTCTAGAAGCGCCTTGAAGGCAGAAACAATGTTATTTCGAGTGCCCTGTGGTTGCGATGCCTTGCTCTCAGGTCGTGCAATCGGCTGATGTATGCCGAACCGAATTTAAAAGGAAAAAAAGATTCTTGCTTAGAGTCATGGAAACTGAGACTGAATTGGAAAGACCTTAAAGTTTACCTCCTCCACCCCCCTCATTTTTCAGATGAGATTAAGGGAACTGACTTACTCAACACTGACTCACTCAACACCATGCCTTGTTACTGGCTGAGCAATGATAGTTGATATAAAAAGTCTCAAGTGTCTAAATATGTCCTAGCGCTTGCTCAGCACCAATGGGCCCAGCAGACCATCAGCAAAGACCAGACAATAGAGAGTGAGGGTTTGGAATGCACCACCTGCAAGGATATACTAGGTTCCAAAAAATAAAAAACTTTGTTTCGTTAATTCACTTCAATAAACCAAACAAATAAATACCTGTTTATACTTAAATAATGCTTTAAAAATGAGGTAGATTTAAAAAAGCATAGAAGCAAACCTTTCTAAACATACCAGCAGAAACAATATGGCAACAGTGCAAATACCACTGGGGTGATAAACTCAGGATGAAAACCAGAATGAAGACATTTCTCAGGCTTCGGAAAAGCAGTGGGTTCGGCTGAGGTTCTGGGTGCGGACACGCTACAGTAATTCTCTGGTTAAACTCATTACCTGAGGGAAACAGGGGCTATTTGCAATTCTGCTATTGTGCCACATCAACACTTTCTTTTCAACCTAGCTTTGTCCAGTATTTGTAAGTTTAAATTTTTACTTACTTTTCCCTCATTATGTCACTAATTTACTCGTAGAAACACACAGATGACTGCTCCCACGTCTGTCTGATTTCCTTCCCTGTTCTCTTGTTGTAGAAGAAACATTAATTGTTTAATCTTATCTTTATCCTCAGACAGAATCATATTGTCTCACCAAAAGATGAGAAGCCGAACCAAATATATTGTGGGAATAATGTGTTTGGTTTGGCTTCTCTAGGTTACGAAAACTGACTTTTCCAGGAGACCTCAGCAGTTTCTCTTCGGCCACAGAAGTTCAGGCTTTAAATGTTACTCTTCGGTGCTACACGACTTCCTCTGCCTCCCAGGTGAGCACTTTACTCATCGTTACTCACCAGAGGAAAAACTTGGTCCTATGAATCATATCCTTTCAGCCAGTGTGGCGGAGCCATGCTATGCACTGAAATGTCCATTAACTCTCAACACCCCAGTAGTCACATAAACAGTAAACTGGGCTCAAGAGCTCTCCATCGTTCTTACCGAACCATCAGATGGCTGGGAAGGTTATCAGCACTTCCCCAGACAGAGCTGCCTCCTCTTCCTCCCTGCCCCCCGCCCCCCTGCGACTACAGTGAAATGATAAAGGAAATCACCGATCGATATGTCTAGTACATTGTAGTGAAAAACCTCCTAGAAGCATACAAATCCATTGTGTAATTAGATAAGTGTAGTACATTTTAAAATGCCTAACATTTGATTTAAATTGTGCATTTTATAATTAAATGGAGACATAATCTTTCCGTCCTCTCATCACCTCCTTTTCCTCAGTCTCGCAGCCTGCCCTTATGATCTCCCTTTCATTTTCTGGCAACTTGTCACCTGTCCCCTTCTCCTTCCCCCTCCTGTCTGAGCACACACCCGAGGGTCTATTAATCAGAAGTGCTGCATGGCAGGTCATGTTTTATTGCTTAAAGGGTGGTTCTCCTCTAAAAGGACTCGGTGAAATGACTTCATGAAGTTTCATATTTATTCTTTTTCAATGACTTCCATATTCAGTGTAGTCAGTTTTTAAGTCAAAAGACAATTTTGAGAGGATGCTGGGGCCTCACATCCTTCCCAGAACTGCTCCCTCTGCCTCTTACATCATCACTGTGGTAACGGATCTGCCCCCGAACCCAGCTAGAAGGCACTCGGAGGGGTCAGAGGCACAGGGGGGCTGTGGGCCATTTCCATTCCAGCCTGTTTTCCTGGTGACATCTCGGCAGCTCTGTCTGGGAAGCCCTGGGAGAGCAGAGCTGTTATATAACACGGTGCCACACACCACTGTCAGGGACTTTCTGCAGAGGTCTCACTGCAGGATGGCCCTTCCCGTCCTTTTGAAATCACACCAAACCATTGTGAAATGACCGATGGGGACTGCATGACTAAAGCTTACAGAAAGATAATAGTTATACTAATAATTGCCATTTATTAGGCTGGTAAATTTCATCAGGGATCGCACCAGGCATTTTTGTATGTGAACACATTCATTTAACCCTCACAGAAAGGCCGTCCCGCAGCTGTTACCACACCCGTTTTGCAGATGAGGAAAAGTGAGGCTCAGAGCTCAAGTAGCCTCTCCAAGATTAGAGGGCTGTGGACAGTGAAGTCAGAATTCAAACCCAGATTCCTCTGACTCTAAATCTGTGCTGCTCTCACTCTGTACCAACTGCCTCAACACAGCACGGGCACATTTCTAGTTCCCACTATGATCTCAGCACAGGAAAGAAGATGCTTATGCTGTTTCGGTGACAGTTCAGAGCCACTGAAAGAGCTGAGAGCATAGGCCTCAGGTGAAGAAACCCTTTATGGGGTTCTTGCAGAAATTATCAGTAAGTATAGCTTCCTCCTAGCTCCTTCTTTTCTAAAGATGAGAACAGTCTTCTCATCTATCTTACACCTGTCTTCTCAAACTCTAATGATCAAATGCATCATCCCGGAGTTCTGGTTCAGCATGTCTGGCATGGAGTCTGTGATTGTGCATTTCTAACGAGCTCCCAGGTGATGCTGATGACACTGGTCTGGGTACCACAGGTCTTACGTCTGACACTCGCCTTCCCACTGAGGGTTGTTGCTGAAGGAGCAGTTCAAGCTGCATAACTTGGCTAACAGCTCATAAGGCTCCACTGGCTTCTGATTCTGGGCCAGTGTGTCAGGTCATCAGGCATTAGACAGAATTCAAGGAGTTTCTGGCATAGAGAACATTATTAAAAATATCATTTCTTGGTCCCCTGGGGCTCTCCTCCCCCCCCCACTGGAAATTAAAATGATAATGTCTCTAACATGTAAAGTTTCTATTTTTTCCATTATTGTTATTTTTAACAATAATTATCTGGTAATAATTCAAATAACACCTTTCCTCTGAGAAATTCAATGAGCTTTACTAACCTTAATTGTCTAACAGCAATTCCCAGGTGTGGATAAAGCTGTCTCAAAGATCACAGTAAATTTAAAATTGTTCCACTTCCTTCCTCTCTTTGTCCCAAA